CCTAATAGTTTTATACTTAATAACCCGTGAGAACACCTCATTATAGTCTATCCGCTTTCTTTGAGTAAATCTCTTCGTAACTAACCTAGCTTTATATGTTATCATACTCCTTTTAACGTGTAGATCCATTTACAGTGGACTCCTTTGGATTCTTTGGTTTTTCAACCAACATTCAAGTCTTATTTTTGTTTAGAGACTGGATCTCCTCTATTATATCCTTTTTCCAACTTTCAGAATTTTTACAGTTAACCGCTTCTTCAAATGAACCGATTCAACTGACTCCAAGGCTTTACTTGAAACTATGACAAATTCCATCAAATTTGAAGAGATATATTTCAAGTTGGGCTTCACTTATCTTCTCTCCCTATCTCTCACTAATTGGTAATCATCCAAATTAGCACCTGCAGATGTTTCTTGATTAGAGACAACAGTTTTAGGAATTTCAAGTTCAGATTGTTCTATTACTATCTCTTGATCAGATTCTTCTTGAGGTCATATTTCACTATCCTCTGAATTATCACCTAAGCTCTTCACTTCAAATTCCATCTTCTTTCCAGTAGAAGATTCTCCTTCCTCAGTCTATTTGTTATGACTTACTATGTTTTTAAGACAAGGCATATCAATTTCATCGAACTTCACATCTCTACTGTTAATAATCTTAATGCCCTTTAAACCTAAAATCCATAGTCTATATCCTTTCATTCCCTTTGGATAACCTAACATGACAAACTTAGAAGCCCTAGAGTCCAATTTGCCCTCAACCTGATGTGCATAAGCTACACAAAAAAATACTCTAATGTGTGACAAATTTGGGATTTTTCCAGACCATAACTCTTGAGGAGTCTTGAAGTTAACTGAACTAGAAGGTGACCTATTTATCAAATAGGCAGTAGTACATACAGCTTCACCCCAAAAACCTTTAGACAATCCAGAACTAATCATACATCTGACTTTGACCATTAAAGTCAAATTCATCTTCTCTGCCACCCCATTTTGTTGAGGGGTATGTCTTACAGTCTTGTGCCTCATCATACCCTTTCCATTGTAGAAACTATCAAATTCGAAGTTGTAAAACTCTAAACCATTGTCCGTCCTAAGAGTTTTTACACCCTTTCCCATTTGATGTTCAATTATTGCAAGCCAAGACTTAAACTTACTAAGTTTCAGATTCGGATTTAAGGAGATATACCAAAACTTTCCTCGAGTGATCATCAACAATGGATAGAAAAAATCTATCCCTCCATGTGTGGATATTTTTTAGGACCCCACAAATCTGCATAAATGTAGTCCAATGGTCTCTTAGTGCTGTGTTCACTTATTCTAAAACTAACCCTATGTGACTTTTCTAGAACACACGTCTTACATAAACTTAAAGGTGTAACACTATCCTTACCAAGTAAATTCTGATCACTAAGGTATTTCAATCATTTTTTCCTAATGTGTCCGATGCTTTTATGCCAAAGGTTTGATCTATCTTCACAAACTAAAGATAATGTCGACATTTTGCTATCTAATGTTTTACCTTGAAGGACATATAACCCATTCCTTTTGGCACATTTCATAACAACTAGAGATCCTTTACAAATCTTTAAAGTATTAGCATGAGATTTGAACTCGTGACCTTTTTCTTCTAGAGTGCTTAAGGAAATAAAATTCCTTGCCAAGCCCGAGACATACCTAACACATCTAAAGGGTCTGATAATGCCATCATGCATCCTAATAGAAATATCACCTACTCCTTCTACATTGTGTGTACAATCATCCCTTAAGTATACTTTTCTAGGATTCACATCTTTATAGTTATAGAACCAAGATTTAAGAGGACATATATGAATAGTGGCACCTGAGTCTAAAACCCACTCAGTGTCAAAATCAATATTAGAAACATTCATGACATGTATGTTATCACGAGCACCATCTACATCCCTATCAAAATCTCTTAACATGGTCATAACATGTAGGCAATCAAGCGAATCACTTATATCAACTAAGTTTTGATCATCACTGTGCTACGGTCTCTGTTTCTTCTTAAGGTCATTACAGTCTCTCTTGAAATGTCCTAACTTGCTACAATGAAAGCATTTTTTACCACTCTTATCTCTAAACTTAGACATACCCTTACATTTTCCTTTACCCTTCTTACTTTGAAAATGGTTCTCCCTCGTCTCATTCCTCCCTCTAACAAACAAACTCTCTTCTCTCAAGCTACCCCTCGACTCTTTCTTAAGCTCTAGCTCCCTAGCCCTCAAAGCATCAGTCACAATATCTTGGGTCAAAGTATCCCTAGCATACGTGGTAGCATTTCCAACATCTCTATAGGATTCGGGTGTAGCATTCAAAAGTGTAAAAGCTAAATACTCATCTTTAAATTTCTTATCATTGTGGGCCAAACAATTGATGAGTCTATTAAAGTAACTCACATTGGATTCAAGATCCTTTTCCGGATCCAGCTTAAAACTGAACAATTTTTGAAGTAAATGTATTTTGTTTGGAAGAGATTTTTCCAAAATAGCTTGTCAAGTGCTTCCCACAACTCTTTGACAATCTTATGTTGTTCAACTTGCCCTAACTCGTCATCAGATAACTGCAATATAATCAAACTATGTGCAATTTTCATTCATCTCAATAATTTGATCCGATTTAGCTTTTAATCCACCGGGATATTTTTCTGGGTTGTCAAGAGCTTTAGAAACTTTCTATTTAATTAAAATAACTTTCATTTTTTGCTTTCAATTGGAATAATCTCCATTAACATTGAATTGTGCCAATTCAACTTGAGAGGCCAAGGTAGCAAAAATAATGTTTTCGAAAAAAATTTTACTTAGCCAATTTTACCCACACACAAATGCAAGCTCAAACCAACTTATGTATCAATTACTTTCTAAGATGACATAAACGATGATATCATAACAAGTAAAACATAACCAATATCACAAGAGTCAAATAACACAATATTTTTATTGTAAATTCGAGAGGGTTTTAGAGCGCGTAAACCGAGCGAACCAATCTATTAGTTCGTCTTTAGGAAGAGATACGAGTCTTTATTGATCTAGGGCCTCCACTAACTGCCCTAAGTCATCCAACAACTGCTGCAACACCAGGAAACGCCATCGAGTGGCCAACAGAAAAGTTTCTCCATTTCCACTTTTCTGCCTGAGACTGTATCTGCTTCTTGCGCCAAACTGATATCCAATACCACCAGAAGGTCAAAAATTCATCAAGGAACAATCTGCCTTTTTTCACTTCCAGCTAATTCCCTTGCACGCACCTCCACGCACCCAGACTGTCTTCTGCACATGATTTCACATGCTGCTTCCACCATTAATGCGTGTGGTACACGCGTTGCACCGTCAAATTCTTCTCATCGATTGGAGTTTGATGGTGGTTGTCATTCGTCCACCAGGTGTGTCGTTTTTCCAAAAAATGGGTTTAAAGTTTCTGTTGAACTTGTCTTTGAAAAAAATCGAACCCCTTCCAATCTGATTTTTAGGCTGTTTTAACATTTTTTTACCACTAAACTAAGCTGTAATACCATTTGTAGAGTTTAAAGTGTAGTATATAAAAGATTATTACAACTATAATGCGAAAAATTTGAACTCTCTAAGTGTAAAACCGAACCAAACAACCCAAAGCTTCTTCAACACCACCAATGGAGTCTCCTATGATGTTGAGCTCATATTTGTGTCACACCGGATTATACACTGTTGTCCACGGGAATGATAATGGATATACCAAGAAAAGATCCATCAAAAGCCACAAAGAATTTCTCGAAAAATATAGAATGCTCCCACTTGGTTACCTCTCTATTATTTCTCCCCAATGTTATGTCAAGTCCAAAAATGAGAGAATGGAGAAGTCTTGTATTCATAGAGTCAATCCATTTGAATTCAAAATTCAAATATTGTACTATGGTCAAGTAAAAAGTGACAACACTAATATAGAATAATTGACTACAAGATTAAATTCAACTTAAATTCAATGGTTGAATTTAATCTATAGTCCATATTACTCGTAAACTAGCACAATCAACTTCACACTCTCTAGACCAATCAACTTACACCAACTATAGGGTGTGATCCATCTTACATAGCTCGATTTTTTAACACCACAATTACCATTTTACCCCAAATTTTATTTTATTTTTAAAATACGATTTGACACACTTTATTTACCATGAAAAGTCAAACTTGTAAAAAAAGCCAAATCTCTTTCTTTTCCAGTTAAACGTACAAGACATTTTTTAAATTAAGAAAGGACATGCCAACTTTAGAATTAAAAAATCTTATGTTGATCTACTTTTTACATGTGATTTTCTAAGGGAAAAAAATTGAAGTTTGAAAAACATAGTCATATCCTCCAATTCTACATTTTAGAAAATAAAAGATCCGATACTTAAATACATACCCATAATCAAGTTCGAGCATTATAGGTTTCAATAAGAATGACACAGACCACAGGCCTCCATAGGTGTTGCTCGTTTTAGAATTGGAATGTCACGACTTGTATGTACTAAATATGAGAGTTGAACTTTAGTTGTAAATTAGAATATTGCATAGTGACAGAGGACGGCAATAATGCAGGCAAGGACAATGGAAAAGCTTTCCGCATCCTATCCAGAGAAGAATTAGGGGTGCATTTAATTGCAGACATGGAATTTCCATGAAAAATAAATAAATAAACTCTAAATAAGGACTTTATTCTCTTTTATGAATTGGTGAAAATTCTTGGTACTATATTCTACTTCTCACGGTTCTGCTTGAAACTTTTTGCTTCCTTGATCATACTCGATCTTCTCATGCCAATTCAATTACTATGCGTATGATTGAGCTTGTTGGGATCCTACGATGCTGACTCTGAAGTCGTGGTAGGGCTCATAGCCATTTATCATCAAATTAGGTAAAGTTTTCTTATTTTTTGTAAAATTAAAATATACTTCATGGTTAATAATAAAATAGATTTAACATTTTAATTATGAGGACACAATATTTTTCTCTTATGACTCATATGCATGCAGTATGTGCAGCAATAAGAAAGTCATCCATGGCTTCCATTGAAGCCCCTTTACTACCTCGCTTAATCATCTCCATAACCTTTAACGCTTTTCTTCTCATCAAATCCCCTTCTCTTCCTTCTTCCATCACCAGTTCAATCTTCTCCATAATCTCTTCATGTTCAACGTGGTTATGTCCATTTGCAACTCCAACACAAACTCCCAATTCTTCCTCCAACATATGTGCATTGAATGGCTGTTCAGCACCCATAGGCCATGCTAGCATGGGGACGCCATTGCTAAGAGCTTCAATACACGAATTCCACCCACAGTGGCTCAAAAAAGCACCAACAGATTTGTGGGACAAAATTTCCATCTGGGGTGCCCATTTTTTCAAAAGTAAACCCCTTTTGCTGTTCTTAATCCTTTCCTCAAAACCTTCAGGAAGCCAATCTTTATTTGTGCATTCTGAATCTGTTACAAAGCTTGAAGGTGGCCTAAAAACCCAAAGGAAATCGACGTTACTAGCCTCAAGCGCTTTGGCCAGTTCCTTTGTTTGAGCTTCAGAGGGGGAACTTTGTGAACCAAAGGCCACATAAAGAACTGAGTTCGTCGCCTTTTTATCAAGCCATTTCATGCAATGTTTCATTGTAGCTACTGCTTCTTCTCCCCCGCGGGCTTTACTACCTGCAGACGAAAGAATGGGCCCTATAGAATATACAGAACAATTCGGAAACTGCTCCCTGAAATACGTCAATCCTGTGTTATCAATATCCTCTATCGTGTTGAACAACATTGCATGGGTCTTTAACCAATCTTTGAACATTCCATTTGCAAATTCCCAAGGACCGTCGCATTCTCTAAGATGTACTGGCAGATTTTTTGTCTTAAACCTGTATCCCCGAGGGAAACCGGGGAGGGAAAACTCCTCAGAGTTTGATTTCAACTGAGGAAGATTCAACCATATAGTATGAAAAACAGCCATGCCATAACCTGCACCAGCATTAAAGATTGCATGGAATATGCCAAATTCGTGAGCAACCTCGGCCGACCAGGCAAAAAACATGTCTGAAATTATACAAAGAGGCAGCCTACCATTATCCTCCTCGATGAGACGGGAAACAAGATTTGTGAAGGCAGGTTTTAACAAAGGAGATGACTCAATAAAGCGAAGCATGAGTGGGAGAGGGAGAGTTTCGGTGGATTCAGAGTTTGGAGGAAGTCCATGTTCTGTCCTGTCGAAAGGGATTTCGACTAGTCGAATGTTTGAGAATTTAGGGATGTAATCTTGAAGTTTTTTGATATTGAGAGGGGTGTTTACAAAGGTTATTTCATAGCCTTTTTCTTGTTCTAGTTTAAGTGCCAATGACAAGAAAGGGATGATATGGCCCTGTGCCATGAATGGAAAAACGACTATGTTTTCCTTTGGAGCCATTATTTCTTTAACAAGAAGAAGAAAATATTAATGCAAATTTAAGCCCTTAGTTATGTATTTATATGGTTCTTTTTCCTTGAAATTGACATAGAATTTCCGTGAAAAATCTGAAATAGAAAAAGGATCTTCATTGATTTGCATTCCCATTTATGCATGGAATTAGAATAGGAACTTGAGAATTATATGGCACATCACTATGCTTAATTATAGCATTCCAATATATTGTGTAATAATTAGAATAAAGAAAGCATTCAATATTGCAAAAATATATTGTCTTATCATAATTCTGGTTTAGTTAATTAATTAATTAATTAACGGAGAAGTCAAATAACCTAGTTTCCACATGGGTCTAACTTAGTTGGACCTTTGAAGTTGGATTCGAATTTTGATCTATTTCAATGTGTTGAAAACTAATCCCTATCCCTTAGAGTATGTTTGATTGTAAGCATGAAATTTACATGGAAGAAAAAATATTCTCTTAACAATTGAATTGTCTAGAAATTATTTGCATGGAAGTTGGAAATTTTCAATTAAATATGTTTTGATTGACTTATGTTTCCGCCTAGAAAGTATTGTAATTTTCCATGTTTTGATGTTGGATAAAGTCAAATGACCTGCGAGGATGACCGCACCGATGACCACGCATTCACATGGATACGTTGGTCCCGTGTGAATTAAATAATGTCCGACCTCCCATGTGTGTGTATGCGGTCATCCCCGGTGTCAAATCCGATGTTCGTGTAGCACGGTTGTTTGGTGTTTGATAGTCATTATTTTCCATGTAAATTGTCATTTTTTTCCCAATTTTTACTGTTTCATAGCCACTATTTTCCATGGAAATTGTCACTTTTTCCATGGAAATAGAAAATTGTCACTTTTTCCATGGAAATTGTCACTATTTCCATGGAAATTATTCAGTCAAGGGACAAACACGGACAAATTTATTGACCATATATTTTGTGATTTCATCAATTGGACAGTTTCCATGGAAATTATTCAATCAAGGGAGACAAACCCGGACAAATTTACTGACCATATATTTTGTGATTTCATCTACTCTTATCATCTTTATACTCAACATTTACTAACCAATTGATTTTTTTTTTTTTAAAAGTAAAACTTTTTAAATTAAACTGAAAATAACAAAAGCATTATATACAAATCATTTATAAGTTAAAAAAAACCAAGTATAGCCTTCATCAGCATTGTAAACGGTGTATTATGGTAGCAGCATAATACAAAGCAGATATCAATAATGTATACTCTAATAAAAAATCCAACAAGCTAAATATAAAGAGAATCCATTATACAACTTTAAAACCATTTAAAACAACTCTTCACCGTCAATCCGCCAACTAAATTGAGCTTTAACCAATCTAGGTAGATTTGCCTCCGAGAAAAAATGCCATAAATTAATAGAGTTCAATGAATCTCTACTGCTAGAACGTAGCAATTCAAACCAACATAGATATTACACCTTTAAGTATGGTTGTTTAATTATTCAAGCACGCCATCCAAAAGTAGTGGAGGTGGATCACGACCAAGCTACTCATGTACCAAATCGCACATGAATTCCTTATCAGTCAACCTCATAAATACTCTAGCCCAACTCTCATTCTACTCAAATACTTTCATGACTTGCAATATGTCACGCTTGTCTATGTTCCTGCCTTGTAATTTTTCTAGAACCAATTGTCAATTGATGTGGTTCAGCTCCACAACATTAGCAATTTTTTTTAGACAATTTGGCAATGCTCGATAGGGCAATGAGGCTCTTATCATGTACGTCGATGTCAAATTTTGGTGGTTCCTCCTTCGGTATTAGGCTTAGGAATGCGAACTGGGCTTCGATCCATAACCTTATTTTGACTGTTTATTTCATTCATATTTTCATCTGAAATATTAAAAGTAAAAAAACTCATTAGAATCTTTTATGTAATATGAATAGTACATATTTATTATTTACGATCTTTTACATACCATGAATGGGGGATAAATTGTCGTCGTTGGTTACAACGCGATCTCTTGTATCAGAATCATTTCTAAAGATAGCCTCCAAATCATCATGACAAATACAAAGTTTGGTCTTCCACTTTCTGAATTGTGGTTTTCTCTACAAAAATAAAAAAATGACAGGGAGTTATGTTATATATGTGGACATTGTCCAAAAGAAACTAGGGGTTATGTTATATATGTGGACAATGTCCAAAAGAAACTATGTTACTAAAATGTAATGACTAATAATTTCATTGGTCGATGAGATATTATACCTTCAAAAACTCCTCCCATGCTAGTGATATCGCCTGTAACACGTCCAATGTCATGATCCAACACAAAACCACTCATATTCAACAACTGGCGAACTTATATTCTTTTTTTAAAGTCTTCAATCGTGTCCTTACATTCTTATCTTACACCATGACTCTGTATCTGTTCTACACGCTCTCAATTGCTAAAGGCACATGATATGATGAAAAGTCATTGTCACTTCTTTTGTGACTAGCCACAGCTAGTGCAATAGTGTAGTTATGATACAACCATCAATTGCATCACTTTACCGTATATGACGGGTCCTAGAATTAGGATCCACTTGGTTTGAGCATATTTCCTCCACATCTGAATGGGTAGTTGGTCTAGGAACTCAAAAAGGCACCTAGGGTTTTGTCGATTATGTACCATGAAATGTGTATTACAAGATTAAAAGTTCGTGGTCCACCATTAAATAATAACACCTACAAAAATGTATGTCAATATTCTATTTCCAATAACAGCAATTCTAATTATCACATTTGAAATTCTAGCAATCTTATGTCAACTTTTACACAAGGACATGAAAAAAGAATCGATCTAATATCAATATATCTTCAATTTAACCAATAACTAAATCTGAAATTCTATCAAGTTTATGTCCATCACATAAGAACATAAATGAAAAAAAAAAAAATCAAAATCAAAATCCATTTCGCATTTGGGTTGAGAAGTTAGTTAGTCCACATTAAATCAACCATTGTATTCCTCTTATTAGAACATGTTTCCTGGGTTGTGAAAGATATGTGAGCTTTTGGAGTTTCATCTTCAGGCACATCAATATGTATAGGGTTCACCTCATCATCGTTACTATCCAAGTCCTCCTCACAAACATTGTCTACATCATCAATCTTTGAGAAGTTGTGGACAGCAGAACAAGCAAGGACTATCCTTGTTTGTGTGTCAATGTCGTGGTAGGATTAATTTCTAAAATATGTAAATATTTTTTTTAAGCAAACCAATTGTCCTCTCAATAAAATTATATAGAGATAAATGTTGAAAATTAAACAGCTCCTTTCTGCTTTTAGAACGTTGATCATCAATGTCTCCACGATGATATCAAGTCCCATAGTATGGTGTAAGAAATCCTGGAACCAATGGAAAGTTGGCGTTGACAAGATAATATTTACCTATTGAAGAGTTGCTCATTACATAGTCATTATTTATTTATGATAACTTGTACGGGAAAGAAATAATTTCAAATTAGTGATGTAACTTATCAACAGGAATTGTTAGCTTATGTCCTTGGCGTGATATTGCACTTCATAACAATCAATAATCATGTGCGAATAACTTCCAGCTGGTAGGCACATATGTAAACTTCATATCAAATGTGTAGCTACTAAAACATTTTGAGAAATCACTTGCTTTCTATTGTGATACCTAGCTTGGTCCTTTAAGTGGATGTTCGCAACAATATGTGTACCATCTATTGCTCCTACGACATTTTTTGAAAAGAATACTTTTAAAGTATTACAATATTCAACTTCTAAGAAATATAATGAAACAACTACAAACCCCTAACTAGAAAAAGGAGTACCATGGCTTCACATTTTCCTTCTTGAATGGTGAGTTACGAATAGTGGTGTTAATCACAACATCTCAATTCAGTCCAAGACAAGCGTGTAATACCCTATGAAAGTAAAAACTCACTATCTGACCAGATCAAAAGAAAGTGAAAAGTCTAGCTCAATTACGTTGGCTATGCCAGATGGTATGCAAAAAATATAGACGCTAGTTCCTCAATTCGGATATATTTATTATCAATCAATCCATATATTTGCAAACAAGCACATATTCTTTGAAATAACCCATTTTCTTCCTAAGTAGATCACAGCATGTTGCATAACTCGCACCAAACATTCGTGTAAATGTCATTTCTCTTACATAATCCCAATTTGTACGAGTCCTAGGAAGGAGTCGTTCACGACGCTTATAATTATATATCACAATCACTTGCGTGACCATCATCCAAAATAAACCTATATGTTCTCATTGGAGTCAACATTGATTCCATATTGTAGCCATGTTACGGCACTACCACGATAAATAAAGATACAATAAAAGTAACATATAAATTACATATTATATTTATATAAAATAAATAATAAATTTCATCATTCGGTCACATTTTATATTATAATTATACAATTTCGACAAACACCTACCAAATTCGAACAAACAACCCCAATCTATTTCTCCACTGGAGCTGCTGCAAATAATGTTAAAACCTGCAAAAAAGTAAAAGTAATAAGCAGTATTTAAATAACCTTATACTATTGATGACATTTTAGTTTCCAACAAAAAATGGATAAAAATCATCAAGATGCTACTACACTAAAAGGTATGAGTTGGCGGTGTCAAAATAATAGGTGGGGATCAATCAATTTGATCATAACAGAAAAACAAAGAGATTGATTGATAGGAAATAAAAAGAAACAAAGAGATACCAATTTTTTGATAGTCATGTCAAAGTAGCGAATGTATATAATCAAAAGATTACCTTTTTTTGATCAAATGTGTTAAATCTATTACACAAGCTTAAATTTAGGGAACATTAAAGATGACAATGGAGTTTTATTTGATAGAAGTGTTATGCCCCTATCTGAATCACCTCGGAGTGTCCACCACCACGCACTCCGATCTGCTAGATACCCACCCGAAGTGGTTCCGAAGTGATCTCCTAAATATAA